CTTAGCTAGGACTTTTCTATTCTAGGGAAAAAGAAAAGGGAATGAAGACAGATTTAATGACATTAATTAATGTTTATTTTTCCGTTCCTAATATGATAGGTAATTTAGGTAACTTAAGTATTTTTATAGTGTGACACAGATTTTTAAAATAACTGAGAAATCTGATTTCATATCTTGCAGTAAGAGGGAATTAATAGAACTAAGACTAAAAAGATTTTTCAGGGTCCATGAGTATATATTCAGATACAGGTCCACAAATATAATTAACCTTGAGATAAGCAAGAATTCTCTGCCTTTAAAAATATAACTCTAAAGACAAAGAAACTGTATTTATAACGACAAAAAGTTTCTAATTTTAGAATTCTTGCTATAAGGACACCTTTTAAGAAAAATGTAGCATTCCTTAAAACCAGAGGCAAGAATATTATCATTATAACGTATGGGTCCTACATGGGGATCTGCATTCCATAGTCACATTTACTTTGTAGTAAAACCCCACAGTCTCAATGAACGTAGGGGAATACGTAATTAAAAAGTCATATTATTAACTGTGTTAATTAAATACGGTATGAATAACTGAAGGAAAAAAAAGTGTAGGTGGTGGAAAGGGGGGTTTTTTGCTGGTCCTATAAAAAGGTGGAGTACATTAAACACTGTTATTGTGTGCCATGCATCACATCTGTACTCTCAGGCACTATTCAATCTATTTGGAAGAAAATAAAGTTTTACAGGACAGCTTCCACTGCAGATGGGAAAGCAAGGAACATACTCAGTAGTATCACTCTTAGACAGGACGTTTCTAGTGTTATTACATTCTTTTGAAATTAAATACATTTGGAAAGGTAAGATTTTGTCTAAAACTGAGAAGTTAATTTACACAGAAACATCCTATCAAGAAAATTCTAGGTTCCTTTTATTTGTACTCAAGTTTTTCACTTACGAGTCCAGAATAATGATGGTATAGATTAGGCATCAGTAAGTTACTACAGACCAAAGCTGGAAAGATGTGATTTAACAGAATGTTAATTGAGCACCCGGAATGCAAAATAAGAGGTACCTAGAGAACAAAGTAAAATATTGTTATCTTAAGAAGTAATAGCTGAAGACCCCCTGACAGCAGAGAGCTCACAGCCATTCTAGATCTAGGGAAGCGAAGGGCACACTATATCCATTTTCACAGTATTTCCATCACAGACTATGACAATACATCATACAAATCTCTGTGGCAAAATACTAACATACATTTTATCTAAAAGGAGCATGAAATGAAATGCAAAGGTTTCAGGTTATGTAAAAGAAAACTTGCAGTACTGTGTTGAATGATACTCAGAAGCATAAGTACATCGTATTAAAATGAGTCATCTGCCAGGTGCAACATGTGTACTGCAACTGCATTTTCATTATACTGGATTTTCAAATGTAAACTCATTACAAAACAAACAGCCTCTCAAACAAGGTAGCTCCATCAACAGAAGTAACACTGATGCAAGTTACCGGCTTGAGAATACAATTTGTTTTATGACACCGATGTGAATAGGTCATGGAAGCGCTAAACACTTTAATACCATCCTGGGTGTAGGATGTGATCCTTACTAAGCAGGAAAAGCAAATTTCAGCTTAAGTGGTAAATCTTCGGCTATAAGGATACTAGCAGGGATGAAAAATGGGAGGTTTTTTAATTGTTATTACTATTATATTCAGCATATTCTGGGTTCTCTCTGTGTCCTCAGAATGTTAGCTATGATAAATACTGTATTTTGTGATGATCCCAAAATCAAAGTTTCCCCATACACTTTCCACTAAAGACCAAGTTAGTGTCACAATTGTTAAGATTAAGGACATAATTTTTTCTGGAAAAAAGCAATGGAGACAGAAGCTTTGAAGGTGCTATACAACTGCTGACGTTAGAAAGCACTGATATTCTCCAAGCACCTTTTTACTTTTTATGATCAGTGCAAATATTGTCCCTCAACTCTAACAAAAGTTTCAGATCATCACAGCATTTACAGATTTGCACTTTGAAAAGCAATTTTTCCAGTTAAACAGCAGAGAAGTTAAAAAAATAATTTGTTCATAAATGAATATATTGTTTTACCAAGATTAAAATAGAAATAAGAGAAGCTGGAGATCCGACTAACTCTGGAAGCAATCAAAACCAAGCAGTAGCCAATCCAGGGCAAAAAGTGCAGCATGTATATTTCAAATTGCTTATATTTTGTATGTTATCAGGAGGACTCAGAGACCTAGCCTGTTTGTACAGACCTAGCCTGACATGCATTCACAAATTCATAAGTCCTCTTGAAATTTGGTTCTGAGACTGGCAGACACACACCAAAAAAAAAAAAAAAAGATTTCCTGACAGATTTAACAGTATTTACGTGTTTGTCTGAATCAAGTTCAGGAATCTCACTTTCTGTGATCTGATGCCTTTTCTGAGGGCTTGCAACTTGATGATCAGCATATGATCTTCCTTCCTAGTCCAGGATACTACTCATTATTACTAAAAGCTAGCATTAACTTTAGGGAAGCATGAGCGAAGACAATTTCTTTCTCATTTAGTTATAGAAAGAGCTGTTGATTTATGTCTTCAGAATCCAATTATAAAACTGTATATGGTTACTGTGACTAAACTGGTATTATGGAGTGCCTAGTTTACTCTCCCACCATCTTACACTAGAAAGCTGGCTTTTATCGGTCTACTCAAATTACAAAGAATTTGCAAACCATTCTTGAGGTAGTGGTATGTCCTCAGAAAACAAGTATATCCTTAGGAAAGCTAGCCATGTGGCAGCCTGTGATCATTGCTTATGTTCTGTTAATAGAAGTGCAAACATGTGTGACTGCCAAAGAAAAAAAAAAAGGAAAAAAAGAAAAGGAGCTGAGAGGGATATACGTTTCTACATGAAGATTAATAAGTGTTCATTTTGGATATACAAGCATGAATTCAGGCCTACTTTAAATTATCTTCAAAGCACGTCATCCTCCTTTACTCTGCATGTAATTTCAAATTTCTCTGTCTAGTAGCAAGCATGATATGCTACCATTCAAAACAAGCCATTAATCTGTTTTTGCTACTGCTGGTTAGTCAAGCAATCAAATTCAAAGTTCAAATTCAGTAGCACTCTACTTCAAAACGAGATCTACGGCCTGAACAATTTTTAGTCAATAACTGCTGCAGTTTGAATGTTCTGTTCCTAGCCATATTTCTGTGGCATACTTCTGATTTATTTTTTTTTAAAGGTCTAACTCAAGCATGCTTTTTTCTACAGTTAACTTTTGGATAATTTCTGGATGGCAACAACTCACAAGCAGTTAGCAGCCTCTTTTTACCATCTCTGCAGCTAGATGGGATTTGGTAAAATATGAATAGTACCTACTAAATATGGGCTTGGAATTTTGTGTGTACACACGTATGTGTACATGTGTGCACTCTCACGCTTCAAATGGGAAGGAAAAAGAGCGACTTAAATACCATTCAATTTTACAAGGCGAACAAAAACGCTTCACAAAGAATATATGAAAAACTAGACAGTTTCTTCAATGCAATCTTACACAATGAGATATGATAATAGCAAGTGCAATTCTCAACACTTCCTCAACTGGGGGACACAAAGATGCATTATGGATATTTGCCATGATGAAAGACACAATATTTCTGCAAGTAGAGTCAATACCTTCCAATACCACAAGACCAAGGAACACATTTCTAGTCCCAACATTTTATTTAAGTGCTATTTCAATGCACCAAGAATTACAACTAACACAGTGCAATCTAGAATGTCTGAAAAAGAGACACATTTGGGTTTGAAGTTAAGAGTTTACTTCTCTCAAACTCCAACCTAACAGAACATAAGAATGAATTATAAACCTAGTCTCAAAAATAGTAATGAAGGAGCACTTGCTCAGGATTAGCATCGGTGCTGACAGTCGTGCGAGCACTTGTCCCTGTAAGCAGCAGCACTCCTAGAAAGTTTGTCATGCACAGAATTCAGCGGGGCAGCTATGCGCTTTGCACTCTTAAAGTCTTAGGAAAGGAAGACTGACGTTACTTGTGTTTGGGAAAAGCTGGAAACCAGAGAATTTACCTCACACCCTGGGAAAAAAGCCTCATGTTTAGATGTTTCTTATTAAGGTAGCAAAAGCGTGTATTGCTCTGTGGAAAGTGTTAAACTAACAGTATAGAAAGGTACAGTGGACAGGACGCTTTGGAGGTGATGAAACATCCTGAACAAAATTAGAAAGAACAAAAATCTCCTACAAAAAAAAAAAAAAAGTTACTTAATGCAAAATTGTAGCTATTGTACCTTTTTTTTAGCTGACTTCATCACACAAACTACAAACAAAGCAGCTTTTTTAACCCATTCCTCCCAGAACTTCTTAAACCAGCAAGGACCTGGGAGGCGTCTGTTCTCTCCCTCAACCACCACACCATCCCTTCAAGCCACAAGACAAAAGTGCACCTTGGTCACCACCATAGACCCAGCAGAGCACACCACCACCTCACCTACCCCAGCTCTGCAATTAACAAACCCCAACCAAGCCACACCCACACTGCTCAGTTATTTACCTTGCAAAAGAAACACCTTCTCCAACATCTAGACAAGGTATTCACGTACAATTTACTACTCTCAAGATACGTGCAAACACTTGAAAGTATCTCTGAAAACCAAGATTACTGGGTACTTGACCTCCCCTCACAGACACCGAAGCAAGGCCGGCAGCCTACAACGCTCCCCACCTCCGGCACTCACATTTGTGACTAACCCACAAACATCGCCCCGGATTACCAGGGCGGGGGGGGATGCCTTCCTTTCGGGTGCACTTCAAATAAAAACAGCTCAGCGATAAACCTACCCCTACAATGACCTTCGAGGCTGAAGCCTCAGCGCCGCTCTCCCGCCGGGCCGCCCCGGCTCTCCACAGGCACGCGCCCACGCCTCGCGCCGCTCCGGAGGCTTCCCGCCCCGCGCATGCGCAGTGCCCACCCGCTGACAGGCGGCACGGCCCGGCCCGGCCCGGCGCTGCCTCGAGATGGCGGCCGAGCCTGAGGGGCCGAGTGCGCCCCCCCTCCCCCCTCCGTCTTCCCTCAGGTACGGGAAGGAGGTTTTAGGGGGGGCTCAGCATCGGATAATTCAGTCTGTGGTTACAGCAGGATTGTTTTTGTTAATTGGCTGAACTACTTGGGAGCGAAAGGTTCGCATACAGTAATCAAGCAAAAATTAGAGGCTTTTCTGTGAATTTAGTTGTCACCAAGATACAGGCAGTTTTGTAGTGTTCAGATTTCAGTCATTTTCATGTTACGTTTACTGTGAGACGTGTACAGCACTTTCCAAACCAGGAGCCGTTTCCTGTCAGTAACACCACGAGTGCTTCGCTCCATCTTCACTGAAGCTGGGCCTGTCTTCCCACTTGCGCTCTTCTGACAGCCTCATGCACTTGGAAGCAGTAATAAGTGGTAAATTTTTCATCGTTAGGACAAGAAGCTTATACTGAGTGGACAACAACTTCTCACATGGCCACATGTTGGGGTAAATGCTGGAGGAGGCAGTGCCAGAGGTGGCTGTGCAAAGCGGAACCGCGGCATCTCTCAAAACTGCTGGAATTGAGTGAGTATTTTCTTACCTTAATTCTGGTAACTTGGGCTGAGGCACACGCCTGCTCTTGTTGGGATGTACTTGTCCACACATCATCAAACATAGTAACTAAACATAAGTATTATGCTTATACCTTGAAATGTTGTAACTGGTAATTAGAAACAATCTATTCTTTGTTGACATTTTTTGTTACAAGTGAGTGAATGGAAGTTGGAGGTATGCCTAGGACAGCAGTAAGAAGGACAGCTATTGTCCTGTTAGCAAGGTTGTTTAATTTCATGCATGGGATTGAAAGAGGAAAAGAGATTTTTGTCAGGAAAACTTCTTCAGTCTTTTTAAATATACTCTTCTTTAAAAACTGAAAAAAATTCTTTTTTGTTAGCAAAATAGTGAAAGAAAACTTGAAGGTCTCTCATGAAATATTTTCTCCATGTAGTACACCAATGGAAATAGTAAGTAGCTTTGTGATAGTTTTTTAGGATTGTTTCCTAGATAAAATATAAATTTACCTAGCTAATACAGGTAACGTTGCAGTATAAGAAAAAACATCTCATTGAACTGACAGTTTATTTAGGGTCAGACAAAAGGTGCCTAGGACGACCAGAAGTTCTTCTATATTCTTTTTATACTTTGATGTTTCTTGTTGAATAAGGATTTTTTAAAATATCAGAAACATTTAATGAATAAAAGGAAATGTCCATACACAAATGAACCAGCTGTTCTCTCCACCTGGTTAAAAAAATTGACCAAAGTGCAACCAGTCACAACTTCTCTCAGAATTTTTCTGACCAATACCATCCATACACGCTACTAACCTCAGGAGAGGTCCCAATATTAGTTACAGCTTAAGGGAGACTGGCTGTACTAGAGCTACAGAGCATTGCGAACAAATTAGAACAGAAAGCAAAATTCATACTCTCTGAGAGAATATGGTCTCTGCTTCTCGTAGGAGCAGTCTACAAAAAATACTGACTAAAATAATCTGAAAAGAAGTTTCTAAAGCAGAGTTTACAGGTTTTTACACAATTGTCATATAAAGCTATCAAGGAATGCTTTCAGAATAATTACACCATGAAAATTGAGCATGCGAGTTTTAAGACTTGAACATAAAGGGCATCAAAGCATTCTAAAGACAAACTAGGGCTACAAATTAAATCTAGCGAAAAAGCAGCAGACTGGTTATGCGTGAGCTGAGGTTAATGTCAGCCTATAAACCAATAAAGAGGATCTGAGGTAAGTGCCAGAATAGCTTTCAAGCATATTTTCCCTTGTCTGGTTTTGACTAATACAATAGGACTACCAATAGGCCAATGGAAAATTTATCTAGTTTATTGATAATGTCTTAAAGTGTCTAAGTACCTTAAAGTTCACAATACACACAGTGTTTACAGCAGAAGCTTAATGAAGCTTTAATTTCAAATTAAAGTTGAAACATAGTCATTTTCAAGCAAGATGGGTGTGGGATACCTCCCAAGTCTGTGCTGTAATGATGCTTTTGCCTCAGGCAAATGACCTAGACAATTACTGAAAAGGGGTATTAGCAAGAGCAAACTGAATTGAAGAAGTACAGATGATTGGAGTGTAAAACCGAGGGAATTTTCATGTCTTAGAATACCTTACCAGGTTCATGTATAGGAGTTCATTTAGGTGAATTGCTTGTCAGAAGACAGATAAGATCAAAGTGTTGGAAGTCAGATGGCAAGCACAGGTGGTGTGATTTAGGATCGTGTGAGAAGATAATCTAATAAAATTATAAGGAGAAAGGTATGTATAAGTCATGTGATACTACATTAAGAACCTAATTGGGAAAATGCATTCTTTTCCCCAGCTCCCCTATACTCTTTGTACAGTGTTGCAGCTGAAAAATCCAACAGGAGTGAGAAAAAGTTATCCATTCCACTCTAAATAAAAAAGTAATTTTTGTCGCACAATATATGGGATGGAGGCTACAGTGTAAGATGTGCCTTATGGAATTTAAAGCATAAAAAAGCAAGTGTGAACATAATAGACTACCATTAGGAAATTATATGAAAGCACTTTGTTATAGTTCAAACTATGTTTTAGGCACTTAATGAAGTAGGGAGGCTGAGCACTAACTCTGGGGATGCTTGAAGTGTGATACTGTAAGGATATTAAAATGTTTATGCTGCAAAGGTATAAGATTGTTACATAACTAACAGGATTGTAACTAATAATATCCAGTAACACCATTTAGTTAGGTGGAGTATATTCTACTTTGTCTTGCTTTTTCAATAAATCCTATTTTAATCTCCTTGAATAAATACAGACTAACCTAACTGTACACTTTCACGAAAATATGATGATTGCTTTATGGTAAAAGGCACAGGGCAAGTTTCTCTGTACAATTCATTGTCACTCAGGACTTGCAGCATCCTTTCTCTTCCAAGCTGCAGTCCTTGGCAGAAATAATGTTTTACTCTATTGTTTAAAATGCCATAGGGATGACAGTAAAGAGAACTATGTGCTGAAGTGGAGGCAGTTCTTTAATACTGATGATGGAAAGTAATATATATATATATACACACACATATCCACACAACTCATTCTACTTAAACTGAAATAAATTGGGCAGGGAAGGAAAGTGATTTCACAACTGCTCTTCAGTATGCTACTGAATTCCTTTTCTCTCTGTTGAACTAAATACAAAATTCAAGACAGATTTTCCTTAACGTTCAATAATTTCTATGAGTATAGATTTGGAAGTTTGGAGTGTTAGAAGAGTCAAGGTTTGGATTTGTCTTATCTATGAGTGATGGAAGGCTTACAGAAATATGAATTTAATCTAGATTTGTCATCTCAGTTCACGTGACTGAATGCAACTTTACTGCTGTCATCCAAAAAGTTATGTAATGTTTCAACTTCAGTAGAAACCAACAGTATTTATAGAATAAACACAATATATAACAGTAACCACCAATTTCTGAGAACATAGTGCAAAATATACTTTCAGCAGTTGCATAGAATAATAGGTTATTAGCAGATTTATAATAAAAATATTTTATTGGAATTAATAATTAAAATAATGCTCTAAGGAATTTTTTTTTTAAAAGATGATTCTTCTTAGAAGCTTTTCCTTAAGGAAGGGGAGGGTACTTTTAAGGATACAGATGACATTTGGTTTATTTTATTATTAGGCACAAGCTCTTTAACCTAAGTCATTTCAGATGTTAAATTACCTTGTAAAAGCCAAAGGGCTCTTCTGAAGTACTTTCTTCTATGCACATTATGGTTTCAGTACGACGGAGTTAAAGAACCTGTATTTTGTAATGTAATTGAAAAACACTCATTTTTATCCTAGTCAGATGATGGGAAAAATCTAGATTATTCTATATTTTTCTAAGCTGAATGTGTTCAGGACAGCTGACAGGCATTCAAGATATGAATGAGTCTAACAGTAATTATTCTACCTTTTGAACTAATGGTTCCATTAAATAGTCACAGAAGCTCTTTACAGGGCAGAGGGAGTGAGAAGAAACACCGGTGCAGACTTAAGCTCAGTGGCTATAACAAAAAACATGTTTTAAGTAAACTTGTCTGATAAAGCTGACAAGAAAAGCCTCAAAGCAATAGTTTTGCTGATGGAACTGAAAGGTAATGAAAATAAAAATTAGAAATAAAGATTTTCCTACTCACTTTGCTAAAATAGTGCAAGAGAGAGAAAAGCAGTAAAATAGCTTCTTTAATGAAAGCACTCCATCAAAGGATATTCTTAGGGTATGACTCCATGTGTTTGTTAGATACAGGTATAGAAACTTAAATATGTTGAAACTGTTTTAAAAATGAAGTACATACTATTCATAGTATTTCTTTTTCATGCTATGCTTTATCACTGGCTCCTTTTGTTACTTTCAGTAGCTAAAGAAAATGCTGCTAGTTGTGAACTATAATTACATTTTTCATTCAGACACTCTAGACATACCTTTAAAGATAAAATTTATAACTAAAGAAGACGTGTATGGGACTTCTGGTTTGTTCTTCTTCCTACATGATATTATATTATACTTATATCTCTCTATATCTGAATATGCTCATCTTGTGTCATTTCAAGGACAGATTAAAAGGCCAGAAATAATTGTAATTTTTCTTTAAAGCAGAACTAGGTGGGGGTTTTGTCATCCAAATAACTTCGCTGTTGCCAATGGAAATATTGCTTACTGTACTTCTTGGTAGACTGTTTATATTTGACACGTGGTCATTTAGTTAATTGCTTTGTCAAAAGAGCTTGAGATCGGATAACAGGATATGTCCAAACTCGGCAGTGGTAAACTTCTCCCTAATCCCTGCAGACTTTTTAAGCTCTGAAGCACGACTCCTATCTTTTTCTAATCTAGTTCTCTCATCTTTTCTGAGAGGTATTTGATCACATTAATATTTGTGATGTCTAACACGTTCTACTGGAATGCTTCTCCAACTTGTGTTTCTTGTTTGTCCGCAGGAAAAAAAAAAAAAAAAGGTAAAATGTTCCAGATAATGAAAATCAAGAGTAAACAGTTCAGGATAAGACAATGAAGCAACCAAATGGGCTTCATTAGCAACTAAATCTTGTGGGGAGTTTTAAAACATGGAATTCATGTTTTAGTGCTATCCTTCTATAGAAGATCCATAGAAAACTGGCACATCTAATACCTAGGACAAATCAAGATGAAAGGTATAAGAATTAACAGAATACTCTAATTTTCCAGGTAGGATTTTCTGTACAGTGCAAGCTGACATTAGCTGAACATCTGATAAATTGCAAAGTCAAAATTATGTTATTTTGTTCCAAGGACATCCTCAGGTCATGTAGTTCCTTTTTACAAAATAAGTAAAAGGTACCATTTCCAGAAATATGGCGTAAATATTCCAACTATCTGTTTAGATTTCATCTTGTCATAGAGCTCCTTCAACACAGTTCCTTGATTTTAAAAAATGAAATCACCTAACATAAGAGAGCTGGTGATATTTCTCTCTTCTCAGTTGTTGTCTTAAGAGATTGTTACAGCTATGTTCAG